TCAGGTTGTTCCCTTGATCTGTGTCCCCCAGCTTCTTCCCTCTGCTGCCCATTCCCCATCCTTACTGTCAGAATCTCCTCTCCCTGAGTACATGGAAGTAAGGAGCCAAGCTGAAAACACCGACTTCAAAATAAATATGCCTGTGGTAACATGCATATAGGCAAATTACTGTGAGTTCTCATACACTTAGATCATCCAGAGTCAATGCATTTTACTTTTCATGAAGTTGCTGCAAGTCCTAACATAAGTGCTTCATAAACATACTTTCAAGCAGCACTTTTGTATCTACTTATATATGGTATAAATGATGCACAATATTAGTTCAAAGCCAAAAGGCTAATGCTTTTCCACAAAGTTCATTGGGCTGAACCTCATCAGCATTAATAGCATTTCAAGCCATGGTGACCCCATTGCTCAGCACTTTTCTCTGTGTGTGTGTGTGTGTGTGTGTGTGTGTGTGTGCAGAAAAGATCCATATGACTGGAACCAAATGTTCTTGTCACGAATCCTGGGATCCTTCACAAACTTATATGCAGATGAGGTGCCAGCCAACTCAATCTGGTTTGCCAGACATTTAAGGCTGGTGAAGAAACAGGAATCATTGGAAATGGGAAAGAAACATATAGTTCAGCTGTGGGAGTGTAGAGGAAGTCAAAAAGTATTCAATGGAGTGGCTCACCATGATGTGAAAAAGCTCTGAGGAGGACTGAGCACAACGGGCACTACCATATATCTTATTCAGAAGAGCTGTACTAGCCTATCATTGTGGCAGGGTCCCATCAGTGTCTTGGCCTTTTGCCTAAGATCAAGCATTTTTGGCACAAAGGGGAGGGTGTCAAGGCTGGCTCTGGCCCTCCTGGTGCTGGCCTGGAATTGTAGTACCTCCAGCTCTGGTGCCAGTTCCCTCTCAGGGGAATAACTGCCAGTTTTTTTCAGGGCCACACAGTCAAAAAAGAAAGGTCCCCATCAGAATGTAATGTTGCATTTTTGGCACAAAAGGGGAAGGTGTTGAGGCTTGCTCTGGCCTTTCCAGTGCTGGCCTTGTCTTACAGTATCTCAAGGCCCAGTGCCCGTTCCCTCCTGGAGGAGCAACTGCCCCCCCGCCTTTTTTAAGGGCAACACACACATGCACAAAAATAGGCTCCTATCAGTATGTTTACCCAAGTATGGGCCATGTGTTTTACAGTCATACTTAGTGTTGGCTGCATTTGATCAGCTTCATAGTTGGTTTCCATTACTGAGCTCATGCTGCTTCTGGCAGCAGTTTAATGATAGACAATGTGTTTAATGAGGTTTTCTTCTATGCAAATGTAAGGTGAGGAGCTTTTCTTCACATGCTGACTGCAGGGGGGGGGATTGTTTTACATTTGAATATATTCAGTAAATGATAAAAGACTATGTAAGAGTTGAGGCAATAGAGATTTTGATAAATTGTGTAGTGGACTATAAGTCTGTAAGTCATGGGAACACCTATCCCATGACAAAAAGCAGTGAAGAGCAAGACCCATCATCTTTTTGTGTTTAGTTGTTCAGGGATTCGAGCAGGTTCACACACAAATACCTACTAAGTAGGGAAAAATCTGGTGCTGTGTTCTACGTTGGGCACAGCAGGAAAAAAGCAAAAAAAAAGGGAGAAACATTTTTATTAGAGATATGTCCTAACCAAAACTCAGGAACTCCTTGCCTCTGAACTTTGATGAAGCTCCTGTTGAAACCCACACTGCAAAGCTAGCTCTGATCTCCATAACCAGCCAGTCTAAAACCCTAGATTCTAATACCCTGAGCACCAGAGAAAATTGTATATAAATCCAGATCTCTGATTTCTCTCCATTTTCTGCATGTCTCCACTGATTCTTGCAAGCATCTCCCTCCACCGAATGTCATTTATCTGTGTTCTCCACACTAATATACATGCCATGAGGCAATGGCTGAGTGTAGCAGGGTAGGAAGAATGAAGTTGCATTTCTCATCATCCAGTAAAATTTATCATCAAAAATGTTTTATGCCTAAGAACAAAACTGCTTATTAATTATCATTAATTGCTTTCTTTTCTAAAGGCAGAGATTAGCAGGAATTATAATCATCCAATATATCTGATGGCAGAGAATAGAAAAATTTAGTCCAATCCAATTACCATACAGCAGCATTCAAGTATTTAATGAGCCCTCAGTGCCTTCTGCATGCAGAGTAGGAGGATTATATAACACAGATGTTAAGTTTTTATCTGTTTGTTGATGGGGAAAGATTAATATATCAGACTATGGCATATGCTGCTCTGCATAAGCCTATTTCCTTTCCATTTGCAAAATAGTCACAAATATTTTTCTCTTCACATACTGTATTTCATACTGGCTAATCTATGGTGAAATGTTTTGTATGACACAGTAATTGCTTTGTTTTAACAAGTCTACTTTAGATAATGGCTTAAAGTTGCCAAAAGCAACTTTTCATATATTGTCTGTGTCACAACCCAGTGATTTTGGTGCCTCGGCACGATGGAATTTTCTTGCCACATGAGAGCCTCTTGCACAGCGAGGGTTTTTGCTGCACAGAAGAACCTCGGTGCAAGAGAGTTCCCGCCAATTTGCAGGGTGCATTTCTTCTTTGCAGCACACAGAAATGCACGGTGCAAAGAGTTCCCGCTATTCGAATGCAAATTTGTGTCCCGCTATTGGCTAGTTCTAAATTATTCCTACGTGGCGGCTAGTAATAGGCTTGCTAGCCGTTTAAAATTTCGTGCGACTTCTGCCGAAGTCGAAGAACTTTGAGCACGCTGCAGAGTGCCTCTAAAGAGATCTGACTTGCGGCTAGCTGATTGATAGACTGATCACCTATCGATCCTTCTTCCCGTCGCCGAGCACAATCCCAGACGTACCCTTTTCCCGCCGGCTTAAACTGCGGACGGATTAACTGGCTTGGGCCTCGCCAGCTGGAACAACTCACATAGTTGTTCTGACAACCGGACCATCTGCGTCGCAACTACAAGCAGTGTAAGTAAAAGTTTTGCAACCATTAAACCTTGTCTGCCTCTCCATTCACCAGCCCGCCCTAACGAACGAGCAATTTCTAAATCACCTCGAGTTGGCTCTGGCCGTCCGAGACAGTCTAAAAACCCAAATCCAACATTAAAAACACTGGAACTAAAAAAATTAGATCCGTATGCTGTCTGGTTTATACAAGGTTCATCTGATGTCTAGATGTTATATAGAGACTGGCTGAAGAGATCATTTCATTTCAGCCTATATGGCAGGGATTACTGTAGTTACGTACTAAAGGAACTCCTTGTTACTGGATATCTGCAGAAGGTGTTTTGAATGAGCAGACTGCTTCAAGGGTGGATTGGGGGAAGGAATGAACAACTTTGAGTTCAACTATTTTGGGCTAAAGAGAAGCAGCCTCTAGGTAATATGCTGGGATGTCACCCAGGGGACAGAGGTTAGGTAAACAGCCATGTAAGAAAAGTATCAGTGCTGTACAGCAGGGATAAAAGGGGCAGAGTTGAGGGTACGACCTGAGCAGAAATATGTGACTCTAAAAAGCTGATATTACAGACAAGCATGCCAATCACTTGCCACAAATTAGTATTCACAGTTTCAAAGCTGGACTTAACTCAGGGTATCTGCTTTTATTAATTTTGAAAAAAAAATATTTAGGGTTTGCTATTTCCTTTTGCATTTGCGATTCATATCTTACATTCCTGTACATAGAAAGTCAATATTTCCTAATGCTCACAAGTGTTATCCCCGAGTCCTTTTTTTTTTTTATTGTAGCAGAAACTACAGTGTCACACTACTGACCTGATTCAAGGACACTGAAATCAGTGGACACATTTCCATAGATTTCAATGGGCTTTGGATATGGCAGTCTCTGAGAAATGGAATATAAAAGATTTTCCACGTACAGTAAATAGATAAAATAATTTCATACAAGACATTTATGAATACAATATGTATAAACCCTCTTCATCAATTCAGACTGTTTGCAATTGTTGTCTCATGTAGGTATTCGTTATTGTTATCATTGAACTCATAGAATAGCGAGTCAATAATTTTTTATTTCAGTTTTGGGATTAGCCAGCTCCTTAAAGGTCAAGATAGTCTCATAATACGGACACTGTCTTAAAAAAAAGCAGCTTTTTGGAGACCGGACCCTGATAGAAAATATCCAGGTCATTAATGTAGCCTTAAGGATCATAGACACAGCTCCCAAGGCATCTCTGACAATCATTGCTCCCTAGGTTCTTTCTCATTCTCTCTTTAGGAGTTAAGAGGTCTTTCTTTTTCTTTCTCTACTAGTTGTTTATTGCATGGAGAAGCAATATTTGTGGTTGTGACTTTCTATCCATAATCTTTTGGGGGTACAATCCTGAAGCCTTCTGAAATAGTCATGTGTCCTGTTTTGTCATTTTCACCAGTCTACCCAGTGGCCAAAGGACCTTCAGTTTACTATTTTTCTTTAACTGCTTCAGGTTTATGCTCCCTAGATTTCTGATCCCTCACAGGATAATGGTATTAGCCACAAAGGAGGACACTGGCTATACCTTGCCCAGTAATTCCCTTTGTGCTCACACTAAACAACCACCGACAATAGGCACTGCAATCTCAGTAGATACATTGTATCCTCTGTTTATTTATGTGGTTTCTTTGGATTTTTAAAGCTGGGCATCCTGACCAGCCTGTGCGAAGAGCCAGTCTTGTGCATCCACAATAAAGGCTTCTGCTGAATATTTTAGAAGAGCTATTCTCATTTTCATTAATAATAATAATAATAATAATAATAATAATAATAATCGGTAAACGTATACATTTTATCATTAATATTAATGATATTTTATTAATACTGACCACTTACACGCTGTTTCTCGTCAGTAAATCTCAAATTACTTTCCAAAGGAGGTTAGTACCATTATATACATAAGGTAGAAAACTGAGTCAGAATGTCAGGAACTTGCAGAAAGTCTCCCAGCAATCAACTGTAGGGACAGAATAAAACTTTGGTCCCCTACAGCCTTGTTCTCTGCTCTGAGTTCATGGAATGCAACTAGAAGTAACATTATAGTAATATTGTAGTCAAATCTGAAAATTATCTTAGAAAGTTCATGGTAATATCTTTGGAAAAGGAATGTAAAAATTTGTGTGAAGCACTACCTAGGAATATAACAAATTGGATAAACCAAATCCAATACAACCAATAGATAATTGTTACTAAGTCGGATAGTAAGCATCTATGCTGCAGCCAGTTACTGAATGGTATAACTTAACACCATGGCCAAATTCATCTTTGTTGGATCAATTAATAGGCAGCACTTAAGAAAATTAAACTCATAAATTTAATAATTAAACAGTCAACTTTAAATTTCGAGTTCTTTAGAAACTGCAAAAAACATGAACACTTCTTTGTGGGAACTTTGTTGTTATTCAAACAGCCCATCCTGTTTTTTCAACCTCAATTCACACATTAATTTTTAACATAGTGAAAAAATATTTTTAACTGAAAAGTTTTTGTTTGGCTACAGTCCCTAAAAAACAGACAGCATTAACTTTGCACAGTCCAATGTGCAAGCAATAAAAGCAGCTTCCGATATTTAGAAATGTTTATAAAGTAAGACTACTTGCAAATAACAAGCAAGACCCAGCTATAATAAATAAAATGGGAGATACACTTGGTATCTACTTAATATATTTATTTACCATTCAAGAGATGGCAAGTAGCCATCTATGATCCTTTTATTAACCTCACAGACTAGGAATGTAAAAAAAAGTGAAGATTTTGGACAAGAGGCTGAATATCAGTATCTGACCTTGCAAGAATCTAGGTGGGTATTTAAAAATATTTATAAAGGGCAATTGAGGTCAATTACTATTGCAATGTGCTTTTAATTGGGCTTTATTAAAAATGATCCTTTGGTTGCAACCATAGTAGATGATAGTATCCAGTAAAAGATAAGAGTGAGAGATTTGGGTTTAGTCTATGATTTACTCTGGCTGCTGAAATGCCTTCAGGGGCAATTCAAAGTTTTAGCACAAACATATAAAATCCTTTCTAAAATAAGACACAGAGATTACTGTGTTGGCTCCTTATTACATTGCAAATGCAGTGAGGGTCACGTTGAAGTCAGGACTTTGTTAGCTGAGGGTCATTTGCATCCTTTACAGCCCTGTTATAGCCATTTTTGGAGCTAGTTCTTTGAATTCTGGCATTGCTACTGCTTGTTTCCACCATCTTTTGTATGGCAATGGAAACTTGTGTTGGTAGAATGGCGTGTTTATCACTGACAGATTCCTTCCTATTGATGTTTGGCGGTGACCGGATCTTCTGGATCAATTTTAAAGTTGATCTAGACTGTAGGACACCTGCTATAGTTCACTTGTGGCAGGCAGCCTTTAAATGTATTGAATAAATAAGATATGAAATGTACAGCTTTGGAAAACATCAGCAGTAAATCAACTATTTACAAGGACATTTTTTGACAACTGCATGTCAATCCATAGAAACTTTATGGAATGCAAAAGGACAGGTTTCATTAAGGTTGTACACTTTTCAGCGTAGGTGTTTAACTACCAATAACATTGTGACTTACGCTATGCAGTTAAGGTGTGATTGCATTTCACAAATTGACTCTACAATGAATCATAGACAAAGTTTCTAAACACTTACTTCCTGCAACTGTATGCCATGAGGCCCCATTAACAGTCCCATCTTCCTTCTGGAAATCCTCTGTGTGACATACTCTCCTTCGGGCATCTGTCATCATTCGGTGAGTGGAGGCATATGAATATGCTAACCACCTAAAGACATGGTCATCAGGGGTAGGTGTGTGCTCCTGAGTTTTCCGTATAGAACGGACCATGTCATAAGGGTATGCAACCACCAGTTCTCCTCCTTGTAAATTGCCACCCAGAACAAATGGGATTTTTTCCATCCATGCTATTATTGCCCTTGTCTCAACAGCTACCTAAATGGGAAAGAAACAGAACTTTATCTGGAGCCATGACATTTAGTAGTCCCTACTTATTTGGAGATCTTCTCAGGAAATGTTTAGTTATGGATTAGGTGTAATGGGTATGTTTGGCCACTGGAAAAGACCATGCAGAAATTATTTTTACTGCAGTATTAGCAAATAGTTTCATTTAACACAGGCAATTCTAATTATTTTGAATATGACATGCTGTTTGATTTGGTAGTTAAGAGAGGTTTTTTATTTTTATTTTTTCAAATAACAACCTCAACAGAAAACTTAGGAAAAATATGCCTGGTTGACAAATCCTGCCCTTTTTATAGAGCTCAGCAAGCTTTGGATAAGTCTAATAAAAGTGATAGAGCATTTTGTCTCTTCAAAATAAATGAAAGATTCCCAGAGACAGAAACAAACACTTATTAATTAATTTTAGTGTAATTACTTATAAAAAGAAGCCTATTAATTTTGCATAGGGTGGGAGAGAAAAAAATGTTTTCATATGTACTACTATTTGCACTAGTAATGGTCTACTGTTAACGGTATCTCTGGGGGAAAAGAAATAGGCTCTTCAAAAATTTTTAAAGTCTATCTCCTGATGTTTCATCCCTAAAGCACCTCCCACAATCTTTTGTGTTTCCCTTTCTCTCTCGAGCTACTTCCACTTACTGTGGTGTAACCGTGTTGGGCTAAGGAACCCGAAAGCTTGCTTAATAATTGTTTTTCCAACTATTTAAGTTGGTCTAATAAAAGATATCCCATTCACCCAAAGAACCTTGTCTTCCACTTACTGTAGCATTTTCCGACAGGTACCATTCTGGAATTGGAATATAATGATTTGGGACCTTCCTTGAAGCCTTCTTTCGATCTTCAGCTTCCCACACCAAGGTGTTTAAATCAGGGAAATTATTGTTGATATCAATACCATCTTGAGTCCATCGTCCTAAAGACCAGCCTCCTAATTCTGAACCCTGTGACACAAATTTTCAATCAAACTTTTGTTAAATTGTACACCTTTCAGTAAAGGCATAAACTCAAGGTATTTAATATCTGTGGTTGGTTAGGTTTGCACTACAGTATTTCTAGTTTTAAAGGCACCTATGATGCTGGCCTAATTACAACATGGCCAATTTTGTTTTGTCTACCAAATCTCTTGTAGTTCCAGCTGGATAAATTAATGGATTTTTTACCTCTTGGCTTATAGTTTTATGGAATGTTGCTATCTATACAGAATATTAGTCCCAAGTATGGGACTTCAGGAATTTTATTTGGGTAATTTTATTCCAACTCTGGTGGTTTATGGACAACTGTAAGTAATGTAAGCTGGAGGCTGCATAGGGGTGATCCCACAAGTTGAAGCTGTACATTCAATACTAGTGTTCTCCTGTCCCATCCAAGTCCTTTGTGCCAGAGAAAGTAATATTAATATTGGGGAAATATTCATATTGGGGAAATCCTCATTAGCTGTTCTAGAACTTGGTTAAGGATTTTGTGGTGACACTTAAGAAGCACACTGTGACCTATGAAAGGCATGCTATGTTAAAGCAATGCATGTATTCAGATATACAACAGCCCACATAGAGAAGGTAAAGTTTACAAAGTACTTTGAGGTCCTCAGAAATGAAAGTTCTGTATTAAAATAAGACTTGATCTTAATTTAAAATGAACTGTCAAGTACAACCCCCCTGCAATATAAATTAAATTATGTAATAACTGGAATATCACTAATCAAAAGTTTATTTTATTGACTTCACTGATATCCACATTAAATTATTACTCAAAAAGTTATAAAAATATTTCTTGCTCCAATAAATTTGTTTTTTTGACCACAATGTTAATATCAGTAACACACAAATAAAAGACATTTGTAATAATTAAATCAAATGTAAAAGGAAACCTTATTGAGAACAGACAAATGATAACCAGGGAAGAAAATGATCAAGGTAGAAACCAGAACTGTGCAAATAACTGGATTGGGTGGGGAGAGGGGGGTCTACATATACTGAACAATTTTAATTCAAAACAAAATGTTTTGATTTGTTTATATATATTTACCCCAAACTATTAATTAATTTACAAACGGTTTCAGTGGTCTTAAACCTTTTTATAGATTAGATTCTTTATTTAAAGAATTTCACTCTTTAGAGTGAATTTTCACATCTGCTCTCTTTATAACAGGGGCAAGTCTGATGTACTGAAATTTATAGAAATCTAGGGCCTGTTGTGCTTCTGACTGCTATTGTAGAAACCCTGATATCTGAATCTGATGAACTTCTTGGATGTGGCTATCACAACTCTCTGTTTTCACAAATTGAATTATTACAATACACTGTACAATAAATTTTCCTAAAAAAACCTGCTGTAAAATTTCAGGTGGGTCACAAGTGTGTGTTTGCTTGGCTCTCTTCTCATGGGAATACATTATATACAAGTTGCACAGGCTGCACAGATTATTACCAGATTTAAAATTAAAATTGAAAGTGTACCTATTGTACCACATCTCATTATGAAGTAAGTCTTGGCTATCTTAAAGACAATCTGTTAGCAAGGGGCTGTCCAACTTCTAAGGAGTGGGAGCCACATGATGAGTGTCCACTAGAATCAACAGGCATTGTGCGCCAGGGCTGGCTTGGCGCATGGGGTTTTGGTGCAAACTCAAACCTCAGTGTATTTCTGAATGCTCTAACAAAGTTGGGGCCACCAGAAACTGGAGAGAGCCAGGCTGGTAGTTTTGGAGATACCAAAAATGCCCTGCAAGCAGAGAGTCATGAAAGATGGTTCAGGCCCTTCTGAGGCCCACAGGACCTGAGCAACAAATGAGTCCTGGGGGATAAAGGAATGGAGTCATGTCATTAGGTCCTAGTTTACCATGGCTCTAGCAAAGTTCTTGGGGCTCAGAATGGTGGAACAGGTTTCAGGATAGAGTTCTAAATGTTCATCCTTCTGGAACAGGGCATCCGCCTAACCATTTTTGGTGCCTGGACAGTAGGTGACTGTGAAATTGAACCATATAAAGAACAAAGACCAACAGATCTGTCTTTGGTTTAAAGTTCATGAAGTTTGCAGGCATTCAGGATTCTTGTGGTCAGTTAATACCTGGACCAGGAACTGAGCACCTTCTAGATGGTGTCACCATTCCTTGAATGCAGCTTTGATTGCTAGGAGCCCCTGATCCAAGATATTATAATTGTGCTAAGCTGTGGTCAGTTTTCTAGAAAAGTATGCACATGGGTAGGGGAGCCCCTGAAGACCTGATGGCTAATCCAAGATAGTTCCAGTGGCACAGCTGAAAGCATCTGTCTCCAATAGGAATGGCTGTGTTGAATGTGGGTGAATTTGGATAGGAGCTGAGGTGAAGGTCATTTTAAACCCCTCAAAGGCAGCCTGGACCTCTGGGGTCTAGATAAAGTGCATTCCTTTCTTGAAAAGAGCAGTGATTGAGGTCACATGTTTAGGGAACCCCTTAATAAATCTTCTTTAGAAGTTGGCAAAGCCAAGGAACCACTTAACCCCACAGATATCCCTTGAGGGTTGCCACTCTATAATGGCAGAGACCTTCCTGAGATCCATGGATAGCCCCTCCGGTATAATGGCATATCCTAAAAACTCAATAACTGTTTTATCTACTTCACACTTTTCTAATTTGGCATGTAGACCATGGCTCCTTAGTCACTACAATACCACTCAAATATGGCATTCTTGCTGGCTGGGGCTCTTGAAAAAAATAAAATATAAAGCAGGTAAATTACCATGAAATACGTCCAGGGTATCTTTGAAAACATAATTCAAGAAATGCTGAAATGCTGCTGGGGCATTAGAAAGCCCAAAGGGCATCATGAGGTACTCAAAAGAACTGTATTATGACCAGAAGGCTGTTTTCCATTTGTCCCCTTTGTGAATGCGGCCCAGGCTGTAGGCCACCCCTGAAGGTCCAGTTTAGTAAATATCTTGGTGGAATGAAGCCTGTCTAACAACTCTTGAATTAACAGAAGTGGGTATTGGTTCCAAACAGTAATCTTGTTCATTGCTCTATAGTCTACATAGGGGTGCAGTGAATCATCATTCTTAGTCACAAAAAGATAGGAGCCCAGACTGGTGACAGGAGGGCTGAATAAACCCTTTTTGTAGATTCTCCATGATGTACTCTTTTAGAGCCTTGAGTTCAGGCTCCTAGAAGATATTTGGCCAAACATAGTCCATAGCCCCAGTAAGATATCAATGAGCCAACTGTATGGGCAATGTGGAGGAAGCTGATCCACCCTCTTCTTACCGAATACATTACCCAGATCTCAATCTGGCAGACTGGCAATCTCTGGGGGTGCAGACTTCATTCCCTCTGCAGATTGCATTGGGTGCTCTACTGCACTGGCTCCCCACATGATCTGGGCTGTGATCTGGGGTCCTAGAAACACATCCACTTGCAGAAATTGGAACCAAATTGGAATTCCCTCTGCCCCCCACAGAATATTGGGGTTCTGGAGAGAAAGCCAAAGGGTTCCTAAGATAATTGAAAAGTGGAAAGAATGGATCAGGTCAAAGCAAAGAAATTCCTGGTGCCCTCTGATGCATAATTCCAGTGGGACAATTTCCTTAGTGACAGGTCCAGAAGATAACGTAAACCTATTCACTGACTCCAGTACATCTGGGGTGCATTTAGACCTGACTAGGACTGGGACCTGGGTGCTGGAAGGCAAATGCCAAATCCGTAAAGTTCCCAAAGGACAATGTATCCAGAAGAACTGCCTAGGAGACATCATCCATGGCTGGGTGATGCAAACAAAGGGAAACCAGTAAAGGTACATCTGGTCTCCTCATGGTGGCAGAGGTTATTACACAAGATGGGTGGGGGCAAAGTGTGGGGTAAAAAGCTAGTCCAGCCTTTGCCCCCCCTATTGAGGCATGGTCAACTGTTTTCCCAGCAATTAAACTCAAACTACCTTTTGGGGACAGGTCTGGGCAAAATGCCCCGCTCTACCACAGTAGAGACAGAGACCTCCCGAGTGCTGTTTTTTCTTCAGGGGAGAGCCTCCACCTGGTTGCCTCAACTTGCATAGGCTCTCTGGGCAGCAATATAGGTATTTGTGGGTCCCAGAGGGTGATACCCATTTCTCTTGCTGTCTTTCAAGCAAACATTGATCTTAACAAAGAGATTAATGAGGCCATCCAGGGTCACTGGAAGCTTGACTCAGGCCAGCTCATCTTTGATAGACCCCCTGAGGCTTTGGCAAAAGTGGAAATGCTGTGCAGCCTCTTTCCACTCTGTGCACCTGGCCAGGAACTAAATTCTGTGACATAGATGCACGCAGGGAGGTGGCCCTGTTTCTGTGTCTGGAAGGCCCATTCTGCTGTGTGTACCCAATTTGAGTCCCCAAAAATCTTGGCCATCACCCCAATAAACACTTCAAGTTATCGAAGAGGGGATTTGAGGCCTCCAAAAAGAAAGCTGTCCCAGGCTGAGGCATCTCCAGTCCAAAGACTAATTATCAGCCCCACACTGGCTGTGTGAGGCACATGTTTGGGAATGCAGCCTGAAGGCCAGGTGGCATTGTCTTATAAATCCCTGAAACTTAAAGGGGTCACCGTCAAATTGTCTTGGGTTTAGGGTTGGCAGGACTGGCACGCTAAGCAGCTGACCCTGAAAGAGGAGTGTTCTGAGCCTGCAACACCGTGATCTGAGTTTGCAAATTTTGAAGTGTGGCCACCAATTTAGGTATGGAAATCTGACCGGATAACCAGTCCATCCTACAGTGACCCTGCCAGGTGATTGGGGAGATGTCTGGTGGAACTTCCTGGTGGAAGTTGTCACAGTCCACCAGGCCAGATGTCCTAGTGGGTAGAGTTGGGCATGGAGCTGAGGGTGGAAGGATTAAAGGTCAGAAGTCACAAATCAGGAGCCAAAATGCCAAGCCAGGGTCAAGAGCTGGGAATCAGAAACCTAGTTATCAAGTCCAAAGGATAATCTACAAGCTAAGTCTCAAAGTAAGCCAAACTGGGATCAGGAGTCAGAAAACAAGTCTGCAGGGAGACTCTAAAGGCTGAAATCCAAGAGCAAGCTGGAGGCAGGGTCAGGAACCTGGGAAACCAGAAATGTCACTGGGATAGGACTACTCAGCGATCAAAGACCAGTGTGTTGTGCAGCAAGGCTCGGATGCTAGAGGAGTTCCTTAAATGCAGCTCCAGAACCAATCAGAGGGAAGGGGCTGGGGGTCAGCTGGCCCTGATTAGTAGGAACTGGGTCAGTGCACTTAACAAGGGTTGCAGAGCAGGAGCCTGCCTAAGCCTTATAGAGCTGATCCGGGGGGGCCACACCATTAGGTGCCATGGGCACCCACAAGGTGCATGCTGCATGCACACATGGATGCTTTCCTCCAAGCCTCCACTGCACCATGTGCAGCACCCTACCTCCCCTTTGGCTTTCCATACTGCATCAGTGCTCCCGCTTGCTACCCCACCCAACACTGCAGGCTGTGCTGTGCAGCTTTGCCTCATCTCATAGGACAGAGGCATGCAGCAGAAGCCACAGGAGGGATGGGGAGTCCCAAGCCCCAGTTACTACTGCAGCTTCAGCAATAATGGCAGCAGTGGCTCACTGGAAGCCTGGGAGGTACATGCTAACCCTTCATTGGTTGCATGTGACTCACAGGCCATCAGTTGGGCAGCCCATGTTAGCTTATACACTACCCCAACAGCTACAATTAATGCTGAATATTGCTTACATTAGCTGCTACCAAGTAAAAGCTAAGCTCAATTCAGCTTTTCATTTTGGTTTGCTACTTCTGTGGGCTTTGTTCATTTTGATTGCTTCCGAAGTATATTTTTAATTAACTTGATAATGGGAGCTTATTTTACCAATCTAATAGAATTATGTTAATTTCTAGCTATGTTGATAATCATATTACCACTTCATAAGCCTTTTCATATCCATCTGGATTGACTGAAGGGAGGAGATGAATTCTGGTATTCTCAATGATATGTACAATGCGTGGGTTCCCAGCCAAATATTCCTGGCACATAAACTGCATTAACAGAAGAATTAGCTCACGTCCAAGCACTTCATTTCCATGAGCTCCTGCAATATACCGAAATTCCGGCTCACCTGTTGACAAAAAAACCCAAACAACATAAATGGAGTTAGAGCTCCAAACCAAGAAACCAATCCGCTACTCACTGTTGTCAATGAAAATCTTTCCATTAACTTTAATGGCAAGGTTGGATCTGCCCTAATTCCACATAACACAGCTGACAACTCATCTTTTCTACCTCATTTATAAAATGTAATTTTACTTCTCTGCTGCTATTATGTATTACTTAATTATATAGTGGTAAGATTTACAGCAACCATGTAAAACATTCAGGAGACATTTGCCGTTGAACAAAATGGTAATTAAATTATATTATTTTGTGTTTTCTAAATATAATAAAAAGTTCTTTGTTACAAAAGCCCACTTTACAAGTTCTATGCTTTTTAAAAGAGCATGTGGCATCTCTCTCAATGGTAGTATTTTTGGAATGCATGTGTATTCTCATAAAGGATATAAATAGACAGTACACTCTAACAGTACAATGTTTATGTCTGACCCCACACAGTCTTTTTATAGTCATTAATGTAACACAATGATTCATGCTTATTTGGAAAAGTTTTATTAAATGCCACAATATCTGTAGTTCTTTACTGCATAGTTGAGCCAGGATTATAAACTGTTATTGGTTAATTAACCAAACAGTGTATTCCATTGTCTTTATATATAATAAGGATCACCAACATTGGGTACTATATCATTTACACCTCGTGCCTCCCGAGGCTGGCGAGGCACGGCGACTGCCCACAGGCAGCATCAGAGGTGTGGCGGCAGTGGGTGGGGACCGCCTGCAGGCAGCCGTGGCGATGTCAGCAGCAAGGGTAGGCCAAGCAGAGATCAATTGCAGGTGGCCGCACCAATGTTGGTGGCGAGGGATGGGGGGTGGCAATCGGTGACCACCCGCAGACACCACCAGCAGTGTCGGTGGTGGCCAATCTCAGGGGGTATATAACCAATCTCAGGGGGTGTACGTGAACCCATGTGCACCCCCTACACATTGCCAATGGTACCCAGTGGCCAGAAATATGACTGATTTTACAGTATTTGGAACTTTTCCACCCTTCACAAGTCACTAGGCTGGGAAATATGAAACTAAAATGTCATCTAATGCATGAAGTAGTGTACATTCTGCATATGAAAAGTAGAGGCTAGATTTTTCCAAAAGCCTCCACAACTATGCTTGAAATATTTGAGGTTTCAGTCATTTGTATGTGGTGATTTTCTATTCCAATAAAGGGTTCTGCACAAAGAAACAAATCACACTACACTGGCAACAGTGGAACGCTAGTTATAAAGGCAGCCCATGAAAGTTAAATGAACTGGTTACGCTAAAAGGCTATGGGACCCTTTGCAACTAGGTCACTAGTCCAAGTTTGGCCAACTGTCTATGATGACTGACATTCATTACAAAGTTGGAACTGTTCAGTGGCATATATGAAATGAGCTGGTAGTCTCAAGCCAAATCTTAGAAACAAATTATTTCATGAGGGCACCTGAATGTAAATGGTAGTGTGAAGGTCCATTGCCTGAGAGGCAACACTGAGATGTGCCCAGAGCTCTGCATTGTGGAGGAATAATACACATTACTTTTTGGGGCACACACTTGTCCAACTTTTCAATACCCCATTGCCACCCTTGCTGATCATCATCACAGAAGGTCCAAGAACCAAATGACTGGACACTATACACTCAGCCCTGGACACTGTGCTAATCAGCCACACTAATGGGGCAGTATAGGGAAAGCTGACCAGCCCTTAGTTCTAATGGACATATAAAAGGACAACTTTAGTCTTGAGGGCTGTCAGCCAATCATGTTCCACAGTATTAAAATCCACTCTGCCTTCCCTTTTATTTTAAAGAGTATAATTCATTAGTATTAATGAATTTGATCCTACTTCATAATGACTTCTATTTATGTTCAACCACATTTTCTCAAATTAGAAATATAACATTGAGGTTCCGCCCACATATGTTTGAAATTCCTGTTGCCATGAACATAATTTCATCAGTGATAATTGCTGCAGACACATGGAATTAAAAAAAGCACCACCCTGAAATAGATTTATAAGAATATAATCCTAACCAACTTCATGTTCTCCTGGGTTGTCAGAGATTTCAGCAGCATACAGTTTTAGTCCTTGGTGGCTTTTTCCAATGTTGTAAATTCTTGTGATGTTCGGACACATTTCATTCACAGTTTTCATCAACTGTCAAAGAAAAAGATATATATTTACATGTAATATGTCATAAAATATATAGCATGTTGATTGTACCTCATTCAAAACTGGATGCAAAGAAAAGCTACTGCCTTCGTTTTTGTTTCTTTTTAAGGTGTGAAAACCAAAGCTGAAGTCAGGCATTATAGATTTGCTGGCACAGAAACACAATATTCATTGAGTTAGAACAAGTGTCTGCTGGAGCAGCACTGCGTGGGTGCAGTTCAAAATCCTTCTTATGCATCAGATTATTTTTATAATATCACTGAAGCAAAGTTAAGGATATAAGGTGAAGAACAGGAAAATAATAATAACAGCAACAACAACAAAGCTTAGCATTCCTGGCATGCCACATTTGACATTTATACAACAGTTAAGCAATTAATCCTTTTAACCTCCCTGTGAGGAAGGGTAAGCACTACTATCTCCTTTCTACAACTTGCTCTCTGGCACAAGGTTCAGTGACTAACCAAGGTCATACAGTGAGTTAATAGCACAACGGTAACTGCAATGTATGACTTTCATTCTGCTAGACAAATACTCAATCTACTAGATAACGTCTTCTGCAACCCAGTGCCTCATGATTTCCTGCTAGGATTCAGATGCACAACCACATAAGGGGGAACAATATCAGATACTGAATTACTAATATCATTTTTAACGGTGCCTCATTCTCTACTCAGGAACAGCCCAAGCCCAGCCCCAATCACATTATAACATGGAATCTATTATCTATGTATGAATGGAAGAAAACTCAGGCTCATATGCACTCTAAGCAGTAAGATATTTAGTTAAAATCAGTACCATTTTTTTAAAAGTCTGCATAGCAAACATCAGCAAAAATGAGAGTAAATAAGAATGCCAGCCCAACCCTAACTAATCAAATGCAAGCAAATGCCTCCCCTCAAGTTGGCGACAAATGGATGAATGGGGTACAAGGTGGATAGAAAAATGGCTGGATCATCAGGCTCAGAGGGTTGTAATTAATAGCTCCATGTCTATTTGGCAGCCGGCCTCACATGGAATGCCCCAGAGCAATGACAATGGTGAGGGGGTTGGGGCACATGACTTCTGAGGAGAGGCTGAGAGAACTGGGCTTATTTAGTCTAGAGAAGAGAAGACTGAGAGGGGATGAATAGCAACCTTCAACTACCTGAAGTGGGGGTTCGAAAGAGGATGGAGCTGGACTGTTCTCAGCAGTGGCAGATGAGAGAGCAAGGAGCAATGGTCTCAGGTTACAGCAAGGGACGTTTAGAGTAGGTATTAGGAAAAACTCTCTCACCAGAAAGGTAGTAAAGCACTGGAACAAGTTACCCAGAGAGGCTGCGGAATCTTCATTCTTGGAGGATTTAAAGAGCTGGCTAGACAAAGCCTTGTCCCGGATGATCTAGTTGGAAATGGTCCTGCTTTGAGAAGGGGGGTGGACTAGATGACCTCCTAAGTTCCCTTCCAACCCGAATTTTCTATGATTCTATGTCCTTTTCTCCTGTGAAAAGAGCTGGAGGAGGGGGTGGGGGGTCTAAATACATATTCTGGTATTCCCCCAACATGGTTCCCCCTGCTTATACTATGTTGCTTAAGACCCATACTATCTGTAGCTGTAGTTGCCACTACAGGCCTATAGAAGCTGTAGGTGAAAACACTGGTACTGTACATGGCAATGTCTTGCTCAATAACTTAAGAAAAAGTAGTATGAGGCATGTGTGTGGTTTATAGGATTAGCATAGTTTTATGTGGGAAAATATTTTTGTGGCTGCTGCTGACTGATGAGTTTTATCTTGCAAATTTCTAAATTCAAAGATTTGTAGGTGGAAATGCAACGAGGATACATTTAATGTTTATGACATTTGGACCTGGTTTGTATGTGTAATGTCTATCTTGTTACAAGTAAACTCAAAGTATTTGTTGTATGCCAAATACAGTTTGGCAAGTAGTCATAACTGAGTTCAATTTCCATATCCCAGTATAAATTTTAAACAGATTAAAGGAAACATACTGTCTCAGTTCATAACATGTGTTCCTAATAAGAAGTAGGAGAAAATACTTTGGAATGATAGTAATGGCTTTAATTTTGTTGCTTTGATTTTGTTTGTGACAACAAGATAAATGAAAGTAGTAAGGATTTTACTGTGAATTGCAGTACCAAAGATCTTTTCATAACCAGACTCTACATAATCTTTTGAACAAGTATTGTCGCATAACATAACTCTTTGTTCGTAAAGCGCTAATGTAGAAACAATACTGGATGACAAAAGGGTTGACAATTTTAAGAATGCAATAATTAGATATGTCCAATACCCATGCTACAATTTAGCAAATCTAAGTAGAAATACAATTCATGTGGACAAGGAAGTCATTAAAATTCCACCCATAAAAGGATTCACTTCTATTTATAAGCATGCTGCAAAGGGACTAAAAAGATGTGGTATTTTTGTAAATTTGCTACTTTCACAAGCCAATTTTACAAATACAAGAACAACCTCCTTCAGCAATTTGAAGTCAGATCTCATGGCTAAGTACAGACAGTCAAAAAGCCCAAGGCTGAATTGATTCAATATTTGCAGGTTAGTTTAATCTACATAGATTGATCTGATAAGCAAGTGAATAGACATTCACTTTTGATTCCAGAAATGCAGCCACATGCTTGCAGTGGCCCAGGCCAGAAGCTGGGGGGAGCTAGAGCATGCCTCCCTGCTAGGCTGGAGCATACAGCCAAGGCTAACCCATCCATCATGTGAGGGGAGGTTTGCAGGGAGGTGCAAAGCATTCTGGGATGCTGGGGGACTGTGAGATAACTTCCATCTGGAGGGGATCTTGGACTGAAGTTCTATAAACTGATTTAATCTAAATCAGTTAGCTCTGATACTACATCCATCCAACTTTATCTCAATCAGGTTTCAGCCATTTTAAAAGTGGTTTATGTACACTGAATTTCTGTTGTGTTACAGGTTTCAACCAGTTTCCAATCACTTATACCAGTTAATGTGTAATTTATATCCCTAGCTCAGGTGAAAAATGCCATGTTATATTTGTTATGCATGATCTAGTTTTGAAATAATTTGTTTATCAGCAGCAGCAAGTTGTTAGTATTACTGAAGTAGTTAAGCGCCTCAAATAGATCAGGACACCATTACACTAAGTAATGTATGAAACTATAGTGGTCACCATCTCATGTTCTACCAGCAAATTCTGCCAGCAATCTGACTTCAAATTGCTGAAGAAAGTTGTTCTTGTGTATGTAACACATCATCAATGACAGCTCATTTATATAGCTGGATCGTTCTCTTTCTATTGGGAGAATAACAATACCTTTGCAAACAGAAACAAGGTTCTGTCACTATCTAGTAGGGCTGTGCGAAATTTTGTTGCCAGTTTTGTTTTGACGCTGTTTCAACTCGTTTTGAGGTCAAAACAGTGAAATCAAAATGGAACAGATATGGTCGAAACAGCCTCGAAACAAAATGAGGCGAGTCGAAACATTTTGATGTTTCACCCATAGGCTATAACGGGGAAGGTTGAAACAGCCAATAACTTTTTGTCATTTCTAGCCTGATTTGGATGAAACTTGCAGAAATGGTAGCCCCTTTGGAGGGGATGATGTCTGCCAGGTTTCAAGAAGGTAAGTGCAGGGGGTTTGGAGAAACTGCATCCCAAAATCTTGAAAGTAAAGCATGTAATGTGTATGTTTTAAGCTACAGCAAGGACAAAACTGCAGGCATACTACAGGCCACAAAGCCTGCCATGTTTCAAGGAGATAGGTGCTGGGGGTTCAGGGAAACTGCACCCCAAAGTCAGCGGGGCTGATGCAGCACAGCAGTTGGACTCTCTTTCTGGCAGCCCCAGCAGCGGTGGCTCTTTCTGGCTTCCACTGCCTCTGGCCCTAACCCCACTGCACAGGCACCCCAGCAAGTCTGCCCATCACCTGCTGCCAGGGGTGGAACCTGCATGGCCAGAGTGCGAGGTCGGGATTATGGGATGGGGCTGCAGGCACGTGGGGAGTAGTGTTCAATAACAGGATGGGCAGGATCATGGGGCAGCTATAGCACGGGGCCAGGGCCAGGGCCAAGCCATGATTCCCTGCCGACACAGCCCTGTAATGGTTACAGGGTCTGTGGGCAGGGGCATACAGAGAGCAGATTGTGCCCTGCCCTGGGCCCTGACTCTATGCTATCACTCTCCCAAGATCCCGGCCTCAAGCCCAGACATAACTCCTTGCCTGCCCATGGCCCCACCCTGTCCACCTGGCTGCGCACCATCCCCACACAGGTCCCAGCCAGTCTCCATGAAGACCCCAGGATTGCTGGGTGGTGGCAACACAGGGATGGGGCCAGGGGCAGAGCTGCAATTTGTTCTGCACATGCCTCTTCCTGTGGAACCAGCACCTGTTGCAGGAGTGAGTGCTGGTAGTAGATCACTGTTCTGCCCTGGGCTCTGGCCTCACACTGTCACTGCCTCACAATCTCAGCCACAGTCCTGCCCACCTATCCCCTTCCCAGATGCCACTCCCCACCCACCGACATCCCCATCACAACCACCTGGCTGAGCATGGAGCAGAGCCACTTAAGGAGTTTTGGTAAGTTGTTGTGCAGGGAAGAGGGAGGAAGGTGGTGCTGACCCAGCCCACGACAGCTCACCAACACTCCCTATGTGGCCTGGAGGCCCAAATAATTGCCCACCCCTGATCTAGCAGCAGGCAGAAGGCACATGTAAATGTGACTGTACCTTTTGCCAGCTGCTGCACTTTCCCCATGTTTGCATGGCTACTATAGTGAAGCCATATAAAGCTGCCAGAAACTCTGTGGATGTGAACTCATACTGATGACTTTCTTGTAGCAGCTGCGAGAGCAAGGTCTCTTCTAAGACCTTCCTAGTGTAGGTATAATTTGTAGGTATAATAAACTGATCAGTAATACTAATATTAGCCCACCTACCTATCCTTACACATATAACAATATTTCTCCATATTACAGCATATCTGGTCTGCTGTTTTC